GTTATTATTACGGAACAAAATAGAATTCGCGATGTTGTGTCTATATATATATATATATATATACATACATATATATACTTATACCTTGTTTATTTAATTACGGAAATAATAAGTACCATAATTCATTTTTTTGTTGCACAAAAAAATTACACAAGATTATAATGATGCGAGCCATGAAAAACTGATTTAACAAGCTTATAATTTTGATTTTAATTTATCTCGTAGTACTCGACGTAATATTTTACCAGATGGAGTCTTTGGAATGCTATCTACAAATCTTATACCACCTCTAAGTCGCTTAGGATTTGATACACGTTCTGAAACAAAAAATATATTTGTACATGCAATATATATATATATATTTATGAACACATAAAACTATATAATAATACTATATTGAGCGGAAAATATTAAGAATTTTTAAGACTACAAAGTAGATTTTTGGACTTAATTAATTAATATTGCATTTAATATTGCAAAAGAAAAGCTAGAAAATTAGTCCAATGCTTATTTCTTCCAATGATGCTAAAATATTTTTGTTTTTTATTTCTCCTAAAGAATTTGCAAATGATGAAATTTCTAATCAGAATTAAGACAGGAATGCAATAGAAATACTTCATATATTGTTGTTAGTTCCATTACATATGACACAGAAAATTCTTACCATTAACATACTGGATTATATCTTTTTCGCAAATATTAGAATTTTCTTCTTTTACAATGAAGGCCATTGGTAACTCCCCAGTTTTGTCATTCGATATGCCAATTACGGCTGCATCTTGTATACCAGGAAAAGTTAACAAAATCGCTTCGAGTTCAGCTGGTGGAACCTGATAGCCTTTATATTTGATGAGTTCTTTTATTCGATCGACAATATAAAAGTATCCATCTTCGTCATAATATCCTACATCTCCCGTATGCAACCAACCATCCTTGTCAATTGTCGCTCTAGTGGATTTTTCGTCATTATAATAACCTTTCATTATCAAATCTCCTTTGAAACATAATTCTCCTTTGCAATTTGGTCCTAAAGTTTTATCTGTCTCGTATTCTCCAATTGGTATTATCTTTGCTGAAAAAAAAATCAGTATTATATTGTCAAACTTTGTCGATATATATTCTATTAATTATATTTCTTATATTAATATAAAAATACACTCTTAAAATACACTATAAATATTGTGGAAAGAAATGCATACTGTGGAGAGGATCAATATTAAAATGAACTATCAAATATATTATCTAATACTGTTCCACAATACTATACTGTAAATATTTACAATTAAATATTTACAAGTAAATATTTACAATTAAAGAATAAAAAATGTTCGACTTTAAAATAATGACTCAGAAAAAATACATTTGTAAATCTATATTGTATGATAATAAGAGTAGATATTTAAAGCGTATAATTACGCTTTAAATAAAACAGACACTGTATTTTCCTAATCGCGAGAATCTTACCTAATGTGCCTGGAACTACTACGCCAACACTGCCTAATTTTCCTTTTCCATCTGGTGATTGTAACACAGCTAAAGTAGTTTCTGTTAATCCGTAGCCTTGTTTAACATCAATAATATTCATATTTAATCGTTTAGCGACAGCCTGCTGAATTTCCTTCGATAATGGAGCTGCACCACTCCTAATTAAATAGCAACTTCAGTAATTGCATAATTCGTAATTTTCGAAATAAATCTAATACAAATACATTTTATGTGTAAGTTTTCACAGCTTATTACAGTTCCATTGAACTCCTACATGTAAATTTATATAACAATGTATAAACTGTATATATTAATTTCATGAATATTCGCCTTTTTTTACTAATCTTTACTAATCTTATCTCATATCTTACTTTTATCATTAACAAATATATGCTCAGCCTAACATCTTTTTTTTTATTTTTGATTTTATGAATTGTAGCATTTTCCTTGAAGATTTAAACATCTTGTAATTTGTAATATACTTACCATATCGTTTTAACACAGGACAAATCATATTTATCCACAAGTGGATGTTTAGCCAGAAATACCATAAGCGACGGCACCATAGGCATATATTCAATTCTATATTTCTCAATGCATTTTAAGAATAGCTCTTCCTCAAAGCGTGAGAATACAATACTGCAATTTCCATTTAATATGCTAAGTACCATCAAGACGAATGAATATGCATGAAAGAATGGGAGTAGTGACAGAGAAATTCTATTTTCAGGAATTGTGTTAGTGTTCATATATATGCGTATGACTGTAGTAATATTTTTATCCATCAACATGACGCCTTTCGGTAGGCCTGTGGTTCCACTTGAACATAAAATCGCTGTTACATGATCATCTAAATTAACGGGAGCCGCTTGAAGTGCATTTGCATCGTCACTAGAGACGTTCGATATCACTTTATACATGCTCGTCCATGAAACATTGTTGCGACCATCAGTAAGCATTAGGATTTTTGGCAACCAGTGCAACTCTCTGAATATTTTTCTTATACCATTAAGTGATACTGTTGAAATAAAAATATACTTTGGTTTTGAAATAGACAGTGCATGTTTCAATTCTCTCTCACTGTACAGAGGATTTAAAGGACAGGCAATAGCACCTAGATAAAACGCAGCACATACTGGAATACAAAATTCCAGATTGTTTTCACTGCACACAGCTATGGTGTCATTCGCCTTTAGTCCTTCTCTCTGCAGATAGACTGCCAATCTCCGGCTAGTGTCTAAGATATGTTGAAACGTCTGCTCCTTGCCAGTATAGGGATTTATCTGGCAAAAAAGTTTATTGTCATTGTAGTAGAAAGTTGTATATGTATATAGCAAAAATTAAATAACAAAATTATTTAAATTATATAAAAATTATTTAAATTATATAAAAATTATATTAAAAAAATTATATAACATCTAGACTATTAGGAATTATTTTCTACATCGTATATTAATCTATTATAATTAATCAATATAATTATGTACAATAATGTACAATATTAATTATGTATTAATAAAATTAATAACAAAAATTAAGTCAATCACGAACTTACATGTGCTACACGAGTACCATGCGTCGTCAATTGCATTAATAACAATTGTCCTATCGAGACATTAAGTTCCGGCAACAATACATCTTCACTACGTAAAATATTTGATTGTTGTGACATGTTGAATATGAGGAAATTAATTCCTTTTTTCACACGTTAAGAAATTCTTTGATTCTTCAATGTAAAAGAAAATGAAATTGTGTACTTTAAAAAATCTGATTACATTTTATGATAAGAATAATATGATTATGATAAGTATATCTTCCACTC